AGAAGGGAGTGTGTGTACGTGCGTGAGTGTGTGTTTTAAGTCATTGAGTCAGGACTGACTCATAACAGACCCTTCAGCAGATTTTCAGAGGCTGTAAATCATATGGAAGAGTTATGTTTCCCCCAAAGAGCAAGTTATGGATCTGAACTACCTGCCTTTGAGCTGGCAACACAATTCCTTACCACTAAGTGGCAAGAAGCTGTACTGCAATCTGCAAAGGCCTGTGGTTTGAATCCACCAACTGCTCCATGGGAGAAGGATGGCCAATCTTCTTTTGTGCAATTTACTGCCTCTGAAAATCCACTAGAGGGTCAGCTGTGGTTTGGTTTCTATTTGAGGGCACACAATAACAACAAGCCACCAGAGTTAGGGTTGAAACTGTTTGCTGAGAGAAAGTTGTTGAGCTAGGATCTGAAGGAGAGCAGCCACAGTTTAAAAATGCCACTTGTGATGGAAAAATTGCTTATTCAGACCAAGTAATTTTTTTTTCTTCAGAAGGATATTGAGGGCCCAAGTTGAGCTTGCTGTCCCTAGTCTGTAGTAAGGTGTGGTATATAAATGTCATTTAGCAGAATGCACGGAAGGACATGAGAATAGGGAGCTAAAACAGTGTGTGAAGACAATTGACTGGAGGGAGAAAGTTTAGGACAAAATAGAACGATCGATTATGTTGGTTCTTGGTTGAGTATAGAAGAAATTGAAAGCAGGATCAAAAGTAGAAAACTGAGCAAAAAGAGAAAAGCTGGCTGGCGGGATGCTTTCGAAGAGTAAGTATAGCAGATGTGTTTGGGATGATGTGAGAACATGGAGTACAGGAACAAGCGGCCATGAAGGGTGAATTTAGATTTTAGGGAATGAGAGTGTTAGAATATGATGATTCTACAGTCTCCTTACTGTATGAGGTGACACTGAAAGAATGATGACATCAAAATGCTGTTCAAGAAAATTTTTGTGCAGTCTTTCAGCACTAAGTTTTTTAATAAATCTATCCCTGTAGTTACAACAACAAAAACATTTTATTATGTCTAGCTCACATATATCAATACACCTACAAGGCTAAAACTCTTTGCTAATTTACTTTTTTATTTATACCCACTTTATTTTATAACATTAATTGCCACTGATTAATTAAATTATTTAGTTAATATGCTTAATCATCTTGTTAATGTATATTGTTGTTCCTTCACCCAATGTATCTATTATTATTTTTAAACTTAGTTTTTTATTATTATTTTTATTTGAGTGAAGGTTTATGAACCACATTGATTTTTCAAGCAATCATTCCTA